GAAGGGTTAGCCAGCTTTCCCAAAACACATAGTCAGTGAACCGGAGGCAAAGGTTGGCATGCGTGTGGGATTTAATACTGAAAGCCATGCTTTTCAGGCTCTCCATTAGTGGAAATCCTAGGAAAGTTGTATGATTGACTTTACTGATCCCAGAATGTGAGAATTCCTTAGAACAACATCTCTTCATGTCACTCTTTTTAAAAGTCATGATCTGGGGCTGGAGAGATGGCCTAGTGGTTAAGAGCACTGACTGTTCTTGCAGAGGACCTGGGTTCCATTCCCAGCACCCACATGGCGGCTACAAACTGTCCTTAACTACAGTTCCAGGGGAATCCAAAGCCCTCTTCTGACCTCTGAGGCATTGCATGACATGGGTGCACTCACTTAAATGCAGTCAATACACTCATACACACAAAATAAAAATAATAAATAAAATATATTTTTTAAAAAATCTGGCCTCCAGGCCAGCTAGAGCCACAAAGTGAGACCCTGTCTCAAAAACAAAACAGAAACAAAGTAACATGGCTCAGTAGTAATTATTTTTGCTTGCAAAGGTAATTTATTTATTTTAATATTTTCATTGCATGTATTTAATTATGTGTGCATGTGTGTGTGTCTGTATGTGTTTGTATGGATGTGCTCATGCCACTGCAGGCATGTGGAGGTCAGAAAAAATTTTGCAGGAATTGGCTCTCTCCTTCTAACTTGTGGGTCTCAGGGATTGAATTCAGGTCATCAGCCTTGGTGACAGCACCTTTACCTGCTGAGCCATTTCACCAGCCTAGCAAAGTGAACTTTAAAAGCCAGGGCCAGGATTAAAGATGATAAATGTTAATGTTTGTGCATATAAAGAAAATCAAAGTAAAGTTGACTAAATCTTTGATAGCCATTATCGTGACCATAGTGACCAGGAATAAACATCACTGTTTCTGATTTTCCTGTCTTCACCTAGCATTAATTGCTTTGTAATCAGATTTAGGTTGTTTTTTTTTTTAAAAAAAATTTTATTTTTATGCATATGAGTGTATTGCCTGCATGTATGTGAGTGCACCCGTGTCATGCAATGCCACCGAGGTCAGAAGAGGACTTCAGATTCCCCTGGAACTGGAGTAAAGGATGGTTCATAGTTGCCATGTAGGTGCTGGGAATAGAACCTGGGTCCTCTGCAAGAGCAGTCAGTGCTCTTAACCATTGAGCCATCTCTCCAGCCATCTTTTTCTTTAAGTTTTAAAGAAAAAGAATATGAACACTTATGACCTCCCTAACTTGATGATCTCGCCTCTGTCTGATTTTCAACATCTATAAAGTGACTGTTAAATCACCTCAAAAACTTTTGCTTACTTTGAGGAGGATCTATTCACAGAATTAAAGTGGAAATGTTGAATTACATTGTGGTGGGGAGCACAGAAACTTCCCCATTTTTAATTAAATGGAGTCAGGAAGATGCACCTCATCCAGCCCTGCCCAGACATCTGTGCCCCAAGATTAATGCTCACAGAATCTTGGTTCTAAGAGTGATGCTGGGACGTGACAGAGCAGAAGCTCATGTAGCCAGAGCCAGCCGTGGTGTGGGTTTCAAGCAGCAGAGACAGGGAGGGTGGCCTGGTGCAACTGTCACTGACGGCAAGGCTGTGGGCGGAAATGGGGAGGGCAGACCAGGGCGGCTTCGTGGTCCACAGCAGCCATGGGTGATGTGGTGCACTCTTGTACTCACAGAAAGCCATGAGTCCTAGCACCTGCTGAATATAGGATGATCATTTTTGTTTTTAAAGGCTACGTACATTTCATGATCTTTTTTGTTTGTTTGTTTTGGTCTTTTTGAGACAGGGTCTTCCTGTAGTCCCAGCTGGCCTGGAACTCACTATGTAGATCAGGCTGGCTTTGAACTCACAGAGATTCTGCCTGCCTCTGCCTCCTGAGTGCTGGGATTAAAGTCCTGTGCCACCACACCTAGCTCAGCTATCTCTCCAGCTCTGGGTTAAACACTTAATAATCTTAATAATAGGTTTCTAAAATTTGTATTTATTTTTAAAGATTTAATTAATTTTAACTATGTATATATATATATGCGTGTGTCTGTTGGTTTTCACACATGAATGCAGCACCCTCAGAGGGCAGAAAAGGGAATCAGAACCCCTGGGGCTGGAGTTACAGGCAGTTCTGAGCTGCCTGGTATGAGTGCTGGGAACCAAATTCAGGTCACCTGAGGTGCAGCAAGCACTCTAACCGCTACGCCATCTCTCTAGCCCTACATATTTTTTTTTTTATTCTTGAAGTCTAATAAACTTTGAGAGAAAAAACAATTTTAATCTTTTTGAGACAGAGTGTCTCCCTGTAGCCCCAACTGGCCTGGAACTTGCTATGTAGACCAGGCTGGCCTTGAACTCACAGAGATCCACCTGCCTCTGTCTCCTGAGTGCCAGGTTTAAAGGCATGCACCACCATGTTCTTCAAGAAAACTTTTTTATGTTTGTTGGCTTTGAACTCACAGAGATCCACCTGCCTCTGCCTCTGCCTCTAGCTCTGCCTCTGCCTCTGCCTCTGCCTCTGCCTCTGCCTCTGCCTCTGCCTCTGCCTCCCAAGTGCTGGGATTAAAGAAATGTGCCACCACTCCCAGTCAATGATCTATTTTTTTAAGGCTACATAATTTTGAGATCAATAAATGTGAGTTGGGATTTTGGCTTTGTGTGCTATCTGAGTAGTCCCAGACATTTACTGTCTCTAATTCACATTGCTCAAAGATAAAAAGGTTTAGTGTATTATCACTAATAACAACTAAGTACAGCACTAAGCTATCCAAAAGTAAGTACAGTACTATACTGTCCAAAAGTACCATATGAGTACATGCATAATTGATTTCACGTTTCTCCTACTGACAGAGCTGTAGGCTGTTGACATATTGAACTTTATAAAAAGAAAGCAAAATAACCTTTCTCTTTCCCTTTATATAAACTAAGAAACCAAGGCTTGCTGAGTGTAAGTGGTTTGAACAAGATCACTGGATCAGGAAAGAGAGGCAGAGAGGAGAGTTCGAAAGAGCACTTTCACTTGGCTGATATTTTCTAGTCAGTTCTCTTATGCTTTCTTATATTTCTGTTTCAGGACCCCCTTGCTGAAGGAGATTTCCCAGGTGATAATTAGTGTTTGTCTTAGTTTGTTTCTTCATTGCTGTGACAAAATACTCTGATCAATACCAACTTGGGGAGGAAAGGGTGTATTTAGTTTACATCTCCCTGGTCACAGCTCATCAGGACCTCAGGGCAGGAACCTGGAGGCAGGAGCTGGAGCACAGGCCATGGAGGAATGCTGCTTACTGACTTGTTCCCCTGGCCCCTGCTCAGCCTGCTTTCTTATGCAACACAGGCCCACCTTCCTAGGGATGGTACCACCCACAGTGGGCTGGGCCTACCCACATCACTCTACAATCAAGAAGGTACCCATGGACATGGCCACAGGCCAGTCCAATGAAGGAAATTCCTCAATTGAGGTTTCCTCAATGCAGGTGTGTCAAGTTGACACTAAAGCTATCCAGCACAGTGTTCAAATCCCAGATTAGATGCTCCTCAAGTTCCACCCATCTGCAGGCTCTCTTTCTCCATCCTCATAATTGATTCTAGGATCCCTTTTGCTTGGGAAAGATGGACACCCTCCCACCAACCTGTCTATGAGGCCATAAATGGACTCCCCAGACATCAAAAAGCTACTGGTGGTAACACATTCCCCCATCTGGCACATCTCCCCACCTATATAATGGGCACACATCAACTAGATGTACCCTTCCTCTCACATCTGTCACATCCTCAGAGTCCTGCATTTCTTCCCCAGAACTGACTCCCCCTTTCCCATGTAGCCTGGGAGTCTGAGACAACTTGGCTATAGACTCCTGCTGTGAAACTTACCCCCTTCCTCTGAGACCTATAAGCATAGACCCCACCACCACCACTCTGCCATGAGGCCTGAACTCTCATCAGAGACCCCACCATTCTGTCTGCCTATCTACTCTGTTGGGGCATGAACCTTCCCTCAGAGCGCCTGCCATGCTGCTGTCTATCTATCTGTAGATGGCCTTAATAAACTCTTCTAATAAACTTCTTACCCAAAAGGACAATCTACTTTAGTGTGTCCCCCCTTGAGCCCCAAACCTTGAACCCCGAGATCTTTTAACTAGGCAACAATCTATCATCAGCATGGGGCTAAATTCTAAGTGGAAGCACAGGATTCCTTACTTTTCTTGCTGTAACAGAATACTTCAAGAGCCACATAAGAGAGAGCTGTGATCCATAGGTCACATCATGACAGGAAAGGCATGGGGCCTGGTGTTGCTTGGTTGGTGGTGGCAGGAGCTTATGGTATGGCTTGTTTACACCTAGGTGGATCAGGAACAGAGTGCTTGGGCGTCGGTCGGGACCAGGCTATAACCCTCAAAGACTTGCCTTCAATGATTCACTTCACCGGCTATGCCTCCCACCTCTAAGGTTCCACAACCTCCCCAAACAGTCCCTTTGAGTTGCTGAAGGCCTTGAAAAATTAAAGCAGGCTTACTTCAAAGCCAAGCAAAACCCTTGCTGTTTCAGGGTCCCTCCTCTTAGAAGATTGAATGGACAAGTTGAGCTAGGGGACCTAATGGTATAAACCCGCAATCCAACACTTGAGAAGTGGAGGTAAAAGGACCAGAAGAGCCAGAAAAGAAGAGAGGATGAAAGGAGAGTCTGGGGCAAGATGCTTGTTGACCTTTGAGGATTTCCCAAGCAGCCCAGGGCAGCTTCCAGTGACTGCCACTGCAGTAGGCAAATACTATCTGTGCACAGAGGTCCTTTGCCCCACCTGCCTGTGGATACAAGAAGTTGGTTTCTTTGGACTCATCTTTAAACTCACTGAAATTCCACAGGAAAGTAGAGATGGTAGTTCACACCTCCAGATTACTGAAAGAGTCAGAGGAGATAGATAATTCATATGAAGAGCTTAGTAGAGTGCCTGGAACATAATAAGTGCTCAAAGTGCAGAATCTATAGATGCTATTTTATTGCTTGTTTGCTGAGATGGGGGTCTTGATTTGCAGTCCAAGCAGCCTTTGCACTTGCTGTGTAACCCAGGCTTGCCTGTCACTTGTGATCTTCATGTTTCCACCTCTGGAGTGCTAGGATAACAAACATGGGCCACCTATGTTATTTTAGTCTGGTTGGACTCTGTAATGACACTTCATGACCATGAAACAGGTCAACCAGAGCATTTCCATCCTAAGGGAAAAAAAATGATGGACATTAACACATAGATTTAATTTATAAAGGAAACAGGGACTAGGGCCATGACTCAGTGATTACAGTAATTGCCACCCAAGTGTGAGGACCCAAGTTCAGATCTCCAGAAACCCATGTAAATGCCAGGTGGGCCTGATGGGCTTCCTGTAAGTCCAGCCTCAGAAGGTAGAGATGAGGATCCCCAGAGGAAACTGGCTATCAAAACTAGCCATATCAGTGAGCTCTGTGTTTGACTGAGAGATCTTGGAGCAGTGAGTAGGGTGAGCAATCAGGAAAGATTTCCAACATCAAGGTTAGCCCTCTACATACACATGAACACATGTATACACACACACACACACATAGAGAAGGAGGAAGAGGAGGAGGGGAAAAGGAGGAGAGAGAGAGAGAGAGAGAGAGAGAGAGAGAGAGAGAGAATGGAAAAAGGAGAAAAAGGGGCATAAATCTCTCCCTGCTATTATCCACAAATATCAGGATTTCTAGATTCTTGTGTCAAATAAAAATTTTGACAGAGACATGTAGGGCAGCACTAGGCAGAAGGGTAGAAGCTCAGTAGCAAACGCTGTACAAAGGATTGAGATTGTGTGTGTGTGTGTGTGCGTGAGAGAGAGAGAGAGAGAGAGAGAGAGAGAGGGAGAGAGAGAGAGGTACATGTATGGAGGGAGGTCAGAAGAGGACAGTTGGTGGCCTGCTCCATCACTGTCACCTACTCCTTTGAGACGGGCTTTCTCCTCAGTGAACCTTCAGCTAGGCTAGCAGGCAGCAAGCCCCAGTCATCCTCCCATCTGTCTCCACAGCACTGGGGTTACAGGCATGTGTGGATATGTGGCCATGCCCTACATTTTATTTGGGTACTGGGGATTTAAACTCAGGTTATCATGCTTGCATAGAAAGTGCTTTTACCCATTGAACCATCTCCACAGTCCCAAGAACTATGACTTTTATATCCCAGTATCACAGGCTTTTGGCTCTCTTGCCTAGCTCTATGCCTTTTAAAAAGTAATCGCAGCACTCGGGAGGCAGAGGCAGGCGGATCTCTATGAGTTCGAGGCCAGCCTGGTCTATATAGTGAGTACCAGGACAGCTGGAGCTACAGGGAGACCCTGTCTCAAAAAG